CTTCACATGGATTGAGATGGAATTTAGACAAGGGCAGGGTCCAAAGCTCCAATACTTACCATTTCACCAGCTGTGGCCAAGTGGAAGCTATCAGTGAGTTCTCTGGCAGCCAGGACGCCATTTTCTTAGAGTTTTGCTTTAAATAGTGATGCTTCAAAAAGAATTCCCTCATCTACAGGGTGTGAATTATCTGATCTACAGTTAAAGGCTCAGATGTTCAAGTTCATTCTAGATCCTTATGATTCAACTGAAGAAAATAGTACCTAGCATCTTTGGAGTTCCAAAATAAAAGGAACAGTTAGACTCTTAAGGACTTACAGGGAACATCTAGGCTTCTTTTTATCCGTACCAGAAAGACAATATACAATCAGGACATTTTCAATGGCAGTGAAGGTACCATACCTGTGATGATGGTAAGGATGGTGGTGGTGGTGGTGGTAGTGGTGGTGGTTGTTGTGGGAGGAGGGATAGTTGTGGGGGGATCTGGATAAAAAAAAAAAGGAAAATCAAGCCCACAATGCTGAACACAACAATGATCTGTAATGACAAACAAAAGCATGGAGACACTGAGATGCTTGCTTGATGGCTCCCCCTTTAAACCCACAAGCTCTTTTCCCTCAGAGACAGGTCTTACACTACACCACAAAGCCTTAGTTGGAAGAGCTAAGAAAAGAAGAAGAACTTTCATATTCATGAAGTGAATTAGAGATGAAATGTGAAGCAGAGAAGGGAGGAAACATCTAAACACCCAACACCCACAACCCAGCCGGATCTGAAAGGTAAGGCTAAGCCACCTCAGCGCTGAGAAGCCACAATGACTGTCACTTCCTTTCTACTGGCAGCAAGAGAAGGTGCCGCTGCCTTTAAAGGGCTCGTATCAGCCGAGGATGAATGTGGCACTGCACACTTGCTCTCTACAACTGCTAACTTCATTATTCTCCACCAATGCACCCCACAGCAGGAGGTAAAACTACTTCTGTACCCATAATAAACACAAAGAAGAGAGAATGTCACCACGAAATACCAACTTCTAGGCAGTTGAAATTTTACTGAGATCTTATTTTTTTAAAAGTCAATAAATTTTTACAACTTATAAATATTAATAAGTTGCCTTTGCTCATGTTAAAAGCTTGACCTAAGTGGACCACAATGATAAAACTGAAAGAACATTTTCTATCTTGTAAACAAGAGAGTTAAATACAGTTTGGCCCTCAAAGCTAGGAGCCTGGTAGGAAAGCCTCTGTCTGATATTTGATACATTGTACATTCTTTGAGCATTTCAAAATTATTTGGGGATAAGGGAAGGGCAAAAAAATCTAAGCCCAGATGATCAAACTGAATATGTTAAATTGTCAGCGAGACTTTGAACTAAGCAATCACTCTACTATAATAGAGCATAAGACGATGTGAAGGCTTTTGATTTTAAATTTTATCTAAAGCACGTCAACTTTTTCTCCCTGACACATCTGGTGTCCTTTTATCTTCAAGTGAGCTCTCGGATTGTCTAATTAATACATCAAAACTTTAATTATATATTGCACCTTTACTGGATTTGGCATAACTTCCTGGAAGCTGATGGAACCACTCGTTTGGTGCCTGGTTGCAAGGTTTGCATAAAATGATGCCTATCATTGATCAATAATCAAAGGTTTTCATTTCCTTCACAAACTGTTTCTTTCACACAATTATACTTGCATGAGTTTGATAAGGAAGAGCCAATAGTAAATGGGTCTGTTTCATGACAGACTTTCCTCCTTGAAGCTGTGGACAAAACAAACTAAACTATTGTTTAATGCAGCCTCCAATGAGCCAAAAAGGATTCCATCAGAAAATTATATCATTCTCCTCTCTAAGAAGTAGAAATGATGAAATCTAAATTTTAAATTACCTTTTAAAGAGGACAGGATGAGAAATCCTGTAACTGAGGCATTCAGTCAGTCCTGTTCCCTGCCATGTTTTATGGAGGCCACAGGTGAGGAAACCCTTTGTGATCTGGCAGCTCATTTGAATTCATCTATGCCTGCTGCAGGTGCCAGATCAGAGACAGACTAAGTACCCCGAGTCCCTAACTCAGCACTTGCGATATCTTCTCCCTCCAGTACACCTCAACTATGTCTAGGAGACAGTTAATGTATTTTTTTTAAATTTTGCTTTGATTACATTATTGCCACTGAAAAGGAGTACAGCTACCTGGAGGGCTTGTCCTCTACACTCTAAAGCTATCTTAAACCCATTTCTAAATATAATGGCACAAAAGCATATGATATATGATGTCTACAACATGGTAAGAAGGAGTGTGAATGTGATTTGAAGATATATGTATGAACCAACAGATAGACAAGATTAACAAGGGATGTTAGTTAGAGAGACTGACAGTCTCTCCATATGAAAAATGGTACATGTTTGATTATCTCCATCAGTACTGGGGCAAATGTTGTCCTTCTCATCTGGCTCAGGTAACACTGAATGAATCAGATTCCATTATTAGGTGAAACCTCCATGCTCACGTCATTTCTAGGAAGAAGAGCAACATAAGGCCACTGTTTAAGAAATACAGAGGGCTGGGACTGGAGCTGAGTGGTAGAGAGCTTACCCAACATGCCAGAGGCCCTGAAATCAATGCACAACATTATAACAAATGAACAAACAAACAAACAAACAAACAAATGCAGAGTTGGAGCTAATGAGCTGTGTGGACCTACAGATCCTAAAAGAACAAAACCAACTGGGACTTAGGCTCTAACCAGCTAGAGTCTTCAAGTAGAGAAGTTACTTCCAAAGAATTAAACATTTTAGAAGTGTATCAAATTTTAGTTCATAAAGTATTTCAAATTGCTTTGCCCATCACCTGCCCAAACTGTTAGACTATTTATTAATACTCAGCAATGCCCTGGCTTGGTGTGCTAGGCTGCCATTTCAAGTACTGTTACCAGCACAGACAGAGATAACAACTTCTTATAGAAGGTTAGACAGACCATCCAGGACTGGGGGTGTACATGTGTATAGATGTGTTTGCTGAAATAGATGAGTTCCTAGTTTTCAAATAATGCCATATGGCCCAGAGGATTAATTTCAAAAGGCCAATATTAATTTTGGAGGGAATGATCTATTAGGAAGCTGTGAGAAAAAGGAGGAATTACAATGAGCAACTTTGCAAAGGGCTTTGGAGTCACAGTATTTTGCCCCTAAAATATGTGGTAACCTTGTGAATCCAGGCCACGTTGTATGTTCTGTGTAAGCTTTATTTTATCATCAGTAGAACGGGATGGCAAACATGCATAGATCATGGTGTTATTGTGGAGGTTAGATGAGATCATGTAAGCAAGACTGTCATTGCAGGGTGCAGCATGAAGGGGACATTCAACAAATGCTGGTTATAAGCTATTATTTTAAATTATGCAAATATCCATCCATCAAGCCCCCTAATGTTTCTCATCTCGAGACATAGGCATAGCAGGCACTACTAGTCAAAACTGTTTTTCTGGTAACTTAGTCTTTTAAATCAGAGAAGCATATTACAGACTGGTAGAACTCTTCCAGGGCTTTTTACATGTGCAGTTTAGAGTCTATAAACTTAGGCACCAATGTGAGGGGGTACGCCCATCAGGGTTAAACCCTGGGGTGAATGCAAATCAGAAAGGAATGCATTTTCCATCCCCACCAAATAGTGAAACAGGGCTGTTCTATGTATCACCAGCAAAAATGGACACCCTGTGCCTGTTTCTCACCTACACAGTAGAGACATTTCCTTTCTTCTTGTGGATTTCTATTAACTACTACTGGGGAGAAATGCAGTAGCTATGTTTGGACCACTTATGACACTGAGGCGTGTACAAAGAAAGCACACTCCAGAAGCCATCAAACAGGGATTTGACATGATCTTTTAGTTCTGTATTATGCTAAGGGAAAAAAAAAACAACCCTTCAGGTATAGAATAGGGCTTATAATTTCATATCCATGTAGGTATAGTGTCAAGGATGCTTCTATCTGATGGATACTACCTCCCCTATTTTCTTCATAAGGAGAGTGCCCAGGTTCTAAGACAGTACAGGGTAAATTTTCCTTATATATAATTTATGTGTCTATGCATATATGCATATATACTTATAGTTGGACTATTTACACAGCTAACATGAAGCCAGAACTCTGGCCCCTGTATTCAAATACTTATAACACTGGAATTTTGATGCCTCTGGTTGCTCATTCTGTGTCACTTCAGTATATGACTTTTTGTTGGTATAGAATGAAGAAACTTCAACTGGACAGCAGTGATTTCATTTGACAGCATAAGACTATAAAGGGAGTGCACTCAACTAAGGGAGTATTTGCCACATATAAAATCAACAGCACTTAATAGATGATCAGTAAGTACCTGTTGATTCAAGAGTGAAACTTATGATAGCATGCATTAATAACCTATAGATGGGCAGAAGGACACTGATTAGGAAAACATGACACATTTTATAAGTTGGCATTTGTGTCTAAAGCAGAAGCCATAGGTGGTCTGTAGCTACCACAGACCTTGTATTTATTCTGAGTGCTTACTGGCCTGCAACATCTTCTTGAATTTAACAGCTTCATGCTGAAAATAAGGTGACTCTGGTCATCAAAGCAGGAGAAAGACTAGCTTAAGCATCACAGGAAAAGACCACTGGGAATAAACTTTCTGAGCCGAAGGCCACTAATTGGTAAGATTGAATTTTTCAGACATTACTTCTAACATAATCTCCATGGCCTGTGCCTGAGGATAGCTTTCCTACTTAGCACAACCAGACGCTGTGATCTTGTGGGACATCACCATGATAAGAGGCAGAGAGGAACAGTCACTGCTGACCCAGGTGGGGACACCCGAGTCAACCTCAGGCCAAGCTTCCTTAAGTTCCCGAAGGACACCAACTGGTTTTTGGTTTTCAACTTGACCAAAGGCTTTGCGAGTGAAGCCCAGACAACAGCTACATACTAAGGAGTCAGTAGGAGAGCGGTTTTTTCTTCTCACGTACCGTATACATACAGCATATAATCCGAATGAGCTTTTCCCACTATGTTGGAAGCCTCACAGCGATAAGTACCATTATCTGTTTTGTTTAGGTTATTGATGAACAGGTTGGGCCCAGACAGTACGGCGTGTTGAGGCATTTCATCATCGACTCTCACCCAATTTACCATCAAGGGCCTGCAGAAGGAAAGAGAGAACATGCCACATGATTATTCCCCACTAAAGTATCTGTATCCAACTTCTAACCATGCAGCAAATGAATCACATGCAGGGTGACGAAATTAACTGGACTCATTAGAGAGATATGAAGTTCAGAGAGTTAATACCATGAAACCAAAAAAGTGTTTTGAATACAATTAAAAAACAAAAAACAAAAACCAACAACAACCAGGATCAGGTGTTGAGAAACATTCAAGAGATGGTAAGTAGGAGTCTTATGATTTCCAATTCATCTTCAGCAAATCAGCAAATAAACCAATGTGTCCAACTTTTATGCCCTGCTGTGTGGTTTCACACCAATTCTAGTGGGACGGAGCTCTCCCATCGTTAATCATCTCAATAACTGGAGGGGGAATAAAGAAGCAGCAAGGTCTTGGCTAGTGGTGCACACATTAATCTAATGGTTACTATCACACAAATGTCTGCTTGCCTGGAAGTCACTTGTGATGTTTAAATAGACTTCTATACCTGAACAGTTCTTTCTTCCTTCCCTCCCTCCCTCTCTTGTTCCCATCCTCTTGTAGGAATTGAACCCAGGGCCTCTACACATGCTTGCTCTACCTACCTCTAAGCTATATCCTCTGCCTTCTTTCATTACTTTTGTTTTAAAAGCTTCCCTGGCCCATCTGGAATTTGCTCTGTAGACCAGGCCTTGAAACTCTGGTAAACCTACTGCCTCTATCCACCTCCACAGTAGCTAGGATTACAGGTCTGTGCTACTAGGCCTGCCTTGAACAGAGCTTTCATTTAGATTGCTTTTTGGAAAGCTACCTCTGACTCTGGAAAGATTCTATCACTTCCTTTCCCTTTAACCTGACTCTCCCCAACGAAGATGCCAGTGGGATGGTCCTGTCCGCCTTGTCTATCTGTCCTCTGGTCATCAACTGCCCTTCTTTACTGACTCTTCTAGGACCAAATAGAGCTAGACTTCCCTGTGAGAGTGACTACCTCTTGGACTAGAGACCAGGTAGCATACCTCCAAGTGGCCTCCCTAGGTCCCACAAGCTAACTGGTAATCAGAAACAAGTTTTGGTGATTTAGAATACCACACATATCTTAATGTATCCATTAAGAAAAAGCAAAGTTCACGAAAAGTAATTTCATACTCTAGAGAGAAAAATGCCCACATGCCAAGTGTCTTTCACATTCACTGAACTTGAAACTTTTATTTCTCAAGGCATCTCCCCTCAATCTCCTAAGAAATCAAGAACATATCTATAAGAGTGTATCCGAAAACATTTGTTCTTATGTGTGGGATGTGTGATGCTGGGGATGAAACCCAGAGCCTTGTGTGTGCCATGCAAGCACTCTGCCATTGAATTACACCCTTAGCCCCAAACTTTTATTTGAAAGGAAGGAAGGGTAACAGAGACTTGAGTGCACAAATAATTTCCTTTCAGTTCATACTCTTACCTCTAGGTGTGGTGACATGACCAGAGACCCATGGGTAATGATGAAGGGATACTCAAGTTGGGCCTGTCAAGTAGCATTCTGGTTTTCAAATGGGAAGTGAAATTAAAATTTCTCTTTAATTACACGAGTTTGCCACCACAACATGGCAAATTATTTAAAAATTAATACTGTATATGCCCTCCTTGTAGGCAGTGGCAAATGGGTCTGCCTGGCAATCAGACCTAACAGGCTGCTGTTTGACAGCTGAAACAATCAGTGGGGGTAAGTGTAGAGAATATGCACAACATTTAATGGCAAGTTAAATTACCATTTTTATTGTATGCAATTTCTTGAGAAAATAAATAGGTACTAGGGGGACAGCTGAGAGTAACACCCGCTTGCTCACACAGCCACACACCCTTTCTGACTTGAGAAGAACAAACAAATACCCTCTGGCATAAATGTCCTGAAGGAAACATGTAATTTACTGTCCCCGTGGCACATTCAATTGAACACAGTACCTTCTTCAGGAGGAAAAAATTCAGAAACAAAATATAGGTTAGCAAGCTGTAGAGTGTAAATGTGACTGATGTGGTTGAACACAGGTGCTACAAGTAGCCAGAGGCCCTTGAGAAGTCTTTTCCCCCTCCACTGGATTGTTTTAGAAGTAAGGTAAGCTGCTAATTAGGGCATAAATCAAACGGTTTATAAAAGGAAAGATCAGAGTCTGTTTTGTAGGGCTTAAAAGAGAAAAGAACACTTTATCAAAGCTGAAAATACTCAGGGTTAAATAACCTGGAACACAAGCGAAAAAGCAAAACAGAACCAAACCTACCATCCACCTCCTAAAGGTTATCTTCACACCTCTAACTTACTAGGCAGGAGGAAGGCTAGCTAGTCTACAGAGAGGCAAGTAGAGTAACAGAAGAGTTGGCATGGGAGAAAGGACTGACAGCCAGGCTCCCCTGACTTTGCTCTTGGCTCCTTAGCCATCACGGGGTGAATTCTTTGAGGATCTGGAAAAAGCTCTGCTAAGATGTCTAAGGTCTTCTTCATATGAACACTGTAAAGATGCTGGTTAGCAAAACTGTAAGGGGGAAAAAAAATGAATCCTACCATAGTGACAGCAGGGGGAGCTCAATGCTCTTTTGTCATTGGATACCACCGAAAGTTAGAGTGTCCTTAATCCCAACTTGACTGGTTCTTCCATTTCATGACCACAGATTGGGATGGCCTTTCCTTAACAGTTGAAAACATTTTTTTTCTTTTAAACTAGAAAGATGGAAGACTGGAGGCCTCTCTCTAAAGTAAACTGTGAAATACTTGAAATAGCACAGCCCCAGGGCTTGTCTGTCATATTGGTGGTGACCTACATGCTTCCTTTGGCCCACTTTGGATTATTTCACAGAGGTAAATACAGCAGCTCTTTCCCATTCCTCAGCGGCACAGGAGTCTTGAGTCAGTTCTCTTTTTCCTCTTAGGCAGTGACGTACACATTCCTCCTTGAGGAAAGATCCTAAACCTCTCCCTCACTAACAGACCTGCTTCTCAGTCTCCAGTAGAACACTTCTTGGCAGGAAATACGACAGAAAAGGCAGGGCAGATTCTTTTTGCCTATAGCTGGCCCTAAACTCTTAACTCGGGTCTAGAAGCCATCCTGCCAGCTGAGGCAAGAAAACAGTTGGTAGAGGTATGTGGAAAACTTCTCATTTCTATGCATGCGTGTCTGAGTGTAAGCGTGTGCACATGCCTGTGGGTACCCGCTGAGACCAGAAAAAGGGATCGGATCCCCTGGAGCTGGAGCAAGCAGTGACGGGCAATTGTAAGCTGCCTAATGTGGGTGCTGGGAACCAAACTTGGGTCCTCTCTAAGAACAGAAAGTGCTCTTAAGCACTGGGCCATCTTTCCAGTCCTAGTTCATGGAATTTTTATTAAGCTTACTTTTTACATGTCAGAGAAAATAGTCCTGACCACACTGTTGATGATAACACAATGGAATTCACTGGAATTCCAGTCCGAGCTGGCATTTTTCTCCCAATCTTGACCATTAAGAACCACGGATATTTATTTCCCCTCTCACTGAATATCCTTCATTTTCTGAAAAATCTTCCATTCTTTTTATAACAGCAGACAGGTGACAGGCCAATGAGCTGTGACTGTACATCTTTGCATTTTGACATTTACTGCTCATGACCCTCAGCCAACCTTGGCTTTCAGAACTTACTGGGGCTTCCCGATGGCTTCACATGTTAACTCGAGTGCATCCCCTTCCCGGGTTAGGCCTTGTAGAGGGTAAGTCATCTGAATATGCACTTGTGGCTTATCTGTGTGACAACAACACAAAGCATGATGTTTAGCAAATGGGAGCATCAGGTAAATCATTCACGCACACTGCCACAAGCCCCATACCACCAGCTCTTACTTGAGATCCCCACCCACATGCCTTCAGCAACATCCTTCTGATTAGTTAGTAATCCTGGTATTTGTTCAAATTAAATTGACTAATAACTCTTAGGAGTGAACCTCAAATAGATAAGAGATTCATAAGCCAACTGTGCCACATCAAACGTTTCCTGTGAAATAACATTTTGTTACATTGAAATTTATCTCTGAACTCAGTCAAGCTAAGGGAAACTCATTTGCCATCATGCTGAGGTGAAGCCACAGATATTTGTGGTACTCAGAGTTGATACACTTTATTATATATCATGTATAAGTATGTGATGATATGTTGTGACACTGTATATTAGTAAGTCTGCCTGCTCTGTGCTCTTGCTTTCAAATTGTTTCCTGGATTCTGCTCAAATAGCTTTAAGAAAAGATCTGGGAAAGATGGGTGGCCCCAAATGAGTCTACATCCTGGCATGAATATGGAAGAAACAAAACTGACATTTGCTCAGAGTCCACTATCAGAGGAACCATCCCAGCAGTGGAACAGGTAAGAGTTTAAGGGACTCACAGAAGCAAGTAGCCAGTTCAAGGTCATAGAGATAACACAACAGATAGCCCTATGGTCTAGGTTCCTGATTCAAAAGCACATTTCCCAATGGCAGCCCATAATTAAAACTGACTACTGTTTTCTAATACAATGATGTATCTAGGAAAGTGATACAAGTATTTTTATTTCCATCAGCTACTTGAAATGGAGCTTGTTAGTAAGATGTGGTGTGGGTATCAAGAGATGAATGATGGCAGGCTTAGGGAACAGGAAGGGATGCTGAATAGTTAGAATCAACATGGATAGACATACAAATAGATTTACAAATAGAATCTGAGTGAATTGGGTTATTTTCCTATGCTTTCTCACTTAATTCTCAGGCTCTGTAAATATATGTTTTTGGAAATGTACCCAAGAGTAATAAATGTGAGAGGGCAAGACATCAGTTGGCTGAAAGGTCAAAACAATTACCGTGGTTTTACTCTCCCACACAATCACATCACCTAAACAACAGCCCCTGGCCTGTTACAAGCAGTGGTGAGCTCATCTATAGTCATCCTATGGAATAAGGGAGAATACAGAAATATGGCCAACTCAGCTATGGAAGCTGCATGAGGAGTTGTCACTAGGGACAGCTGCTGCTTGATGCATTTTTATAGTCTCCTTCCTATCACAGACCTTTCACTCATATCGTTGAAAGTCACATGACATTCAGGTCCTTTTAAGAGAGGCCCCTTGAAGACCCACTAGTGTGCTCTGCCTACTGTGAATCGGTAGCACTTTCTGAGGAGCTACACCTCTTGCCAGGGGACATAAAGATGACAAGTCCCACGGTTCCAACTGACTCTTTGCAAGTAACACAGTCCCTTTCTTGAACTTACTGGCAAAAGAAATGTTAAAAGCAAAGTAGTGAGGCTCCTGATAAATGGATTGGGAACGTAGTTATTTTAAAAAAAGAAATATTTACAAAGGACAAACAGAGTGACCCTGAACTAGCCCAGCTTGTGGGCTGAGGCAAGGGCTCCTGGGCACATACTTTTAGACCATATATAAGACTGAATACAGTCTTGCATTTCTGTGATACAAGCCCCTCTCTCATCGACATACAGCTATTTGATGAAATTTATTTTTTTAAAGGATAAGCAAAAACAAATGGGAGATTATAACAAACAGATAACAAAAGACCTATCTAATAATTCATATTTTATCAATCAAATAGCACTGTGGAGATCCTGGTTAGGGAACCTCTGACATAAATCTGGAGCCCCAAATTTGGGGTGGGACATAACATTTGCTTATAGGTAAATCTGTGAGCCATAAAAGGGCTGCAAGTTTCATGCACTGTTGACTTTAGCCCATTCATTAAGGGGAAGCAAAAAACTTGCGGCTCTGTCTTGGCTGGTATGCAGTTGATGATCTACACCTGCTTGAGAGTATTTGCTGGTCTATGCTTATTAGTCTGCATTTGCTGGTGTGTGTACTGGACTGTGTGCAAAGTTTATATTGTTTTTTACTTCTCTGTGTAATTTACAAGCACAGAGAAAGAGTATATTTTTTCAATACAGTGCACTAAAGGCTTGATATGTCCAAGTTCAATTAATAACGAAGAATGTTGGACAGTCTAATCTACCCTGCCTCTTCAGTTCTACTGAGTTTGTTATGGTTAGATGCATTTTTATGTTCTTAATGAGCTGTTTACCAGTTGTCAACTATATACATAAATCAGGAGGAACAGGCAAAGGGCTGGCCACAATGTAATATGTAATTTAAGCCATGGAAACTACACCTTCAGTTTTGATAACTGATTTTCCCAATTTACTTTTTAGGTTTCTGCAGATGCATCCACTGTGTTATGTATGGGTATAGCTCACATTTACCTTAATGGCTGGCAGAAAAAGTACACATTAATCTTGCTTGTATTGTACGGGTCCCCTTCCATTGACATTTGCAGTATTTATGGACATATTATCTGACCATATTATCTGAACTATCTTCATACTCTAAAAATCAAACAAAGGCTGAGTGGCAAGATCTGTCCCTCAGGCAATAGGAAACTTAAAAACAAGATTGAAAATTTTGTCCTAACTGAGGAACTTGGGTATCTTCAACAGGTAGGATGGAAATGTGGGGATCCCACCAACAACTTTAGAAGTCAGGGACATTGAAATTTCCCAGAAAAGACCCTGGATCTAATAGGAGTATGTCAAAATACTGAACAACTGAGATGGCTGATTGAATAGTCCAGAGCTCATCATTTATATTTTAATTATGCTCATAAATCAAATGTTATAACCCACCCAATCTTTTCTGAAACAGACCAGACTCTTAAGATTTATTTTTAAGTAATAAGGTAAAGCCTAGTACATTTTCTGGGGGATCATTTTACGCCTCAGTTGATGTTGTAAGGCACAAGGCTAAAAGCCAGACAACACTTTCCACCCAAGAGCAATAACTGGCCAAAAACATATCACTCAGAATGGCTTAATGTCATGATAAAATGGAACTGCTATATAAAAATAAGAAAAATAGTTAGGCCTGTGCACTTAAGGAGCATTACAGTTACAGAGATGGCATCAGCAACAGCCAATCAATTAGGTGGAAAGATCTGAGGTTTTCATAATACATTGTAATCTTTTAAAAAACCTATAAAAGACACTTAGCAAGACTGCTATAACAGACAAAATTTGTTCATTACTCAAAGTCGCACAGAGGGTTAAATACCATGAGGCTGTAGGGCATACTACTGTAGCAACCAATTAAAAAATAATATTAGGAAGACATTCTGACTTGATGAGACTTTCCTTAAATGTGTTTTCCTCTCCATTAAGGGGAAAATATAAAAGGAAACTCTTAAAGAGGTTCGAATGGCTTGCTGGCAGATTACAATTGATTTCATGCAGTCTGACCTTGCACCAGGTTCTGTGATCTTTTCAGAAGATGAAACTCGAGATTCTGTAACCTGTATTTCAACTTTCCATGTAAATGAAAATGCACAGTCTCCTCTCTGGAGCCCGACACTAGCACATTAGGTCCATGAATTGATTTTTCCTTCTGACTGGGCTGCCATCCTACCCATGCAGTGGAGAGAAGAACTGAGGCTGTTGTCCTGGCAGGAGATGGACTGCATCAGAGGCACCTGCCACTTTCTTTCTCTGAGAAGTTCTAAATCAGGGGCATGGCAGCATCAAATATTCTTTGACATGGCCACTACAGCCAGGACTAAAGTATGAAATGAAAATCTCTACTTATAACCAGATGGGCTTGAGTGTAACTCTCCACCTGCAACTGCAAGGGCTGGAGGGAAAATCTCTTCTTCCAACTGTGTGTGGGACCTCAGCTCTCCAAGTTCCTCACTTAGTTTTCATTCAGTATTCAGAAACACAGTAAGTGTGGGATTTGATACCTATGGACCAAGGGCTCATGTTTCAAGTCCTGGAGGTACAGGGGTTGGGGAGAGGGGTATGACACCATGACTCAGGGCAACAGTGGCATAGCTGCAACCAGCATGGCTGGGGGAAGATCTAGGTCGCCCCCTGGCACTGCAGCTTTGAGAAGCACTGACTGAAGAGTTTGTCTGGAAATTGTGGAGGATTACTGCAGTTTGCAGTAGAACAACAATGCAAAGATTAACCTGAGAGTTGGTGTGTATTAGAAGCTGTTTGAGCTCAAAGCAAAAATCAACTTCTACAATACGGCTGTCTAAAGTGCTGGAGGAGGACACTTTTGTAATGAGTAGAGGGAAATGTTTAGCACACAAGATAACTGGGCCTGTCTGAAACAAGGTCACACAGAGCTCTCAGAGTAGTGAAAGATGACATCTTGTAAAACACTTGCTTTTCTCTTATCCCAAGACACTTACAACTAATGTTCCCTCTCAAGATGAAATGACCCCTACATGTATTGTATGAATTATAATACTTAGGACTATACCTCATACGAGGTAGTTCCAGCAGTTGGGAGGCTGTGCCTGGATTACAAAGTGAGTTCTAGGACAGCCTGGGCTAGAGTGAGCTCTAGTTCCAAACAAAACAAAACAAAACAAAACAAAAAAAAAAAAGAAAAGAAAAGAAAAGAAAGAAAAACAACAAATTACACTTCTTGGGGACGGTTGAGCTATATTAAGAGATTAAGAGAGCTGGGCATGGTAGCACATGCCTTTAATCCAAGCACTCTGGAGGCAGAGGCAGGTGGATCTCTCGTGAGATTGAGGACAGCCTGGTCTACATAGTCAGTACCAGACCAGCTGGGGTTACAGGGAAACTCTGTCTCAAAAAGACCTTAAAAGAAAAAAGAAATGTGCTAGTTAGAATTACTGCTCGCTCACTCAACAGAGTCAAATCTTATTCTATGCTCTTGTGGTACAAGGTTCTGATGTCAATGGGGTTC